GAGATAAATTATTTGGGCAATATTGACGTTTTGCATAGCCAGGTGCCGGTGGTAGGGATACCACCGGTTGACCGCGAAGAAATGTTTATTAGTCATTGTTTATGTTTGAGTAAAACATATCGTATAGTGAAAGTCATTTGTAAACGATGCCCAAACGTAATAGAGCTTCCGGCAATTTTTGCGGTAAACTGGCACGTTGAAAAGAAGGAAAAAAGATTAAAAACCAGAAAATTGCCGACACGAACCCTTTGAGGTATAAAAGCTTCTTATATATACGTCTGATAAATAATTTAGAGCGAATACGCATTTTCAGTTAAATGATTTACGAAACTGATCGCCTTTTCCCCTCCACGTCAAAAGATGGTTGACTTATCAAGACCTTTTTTACAGCACTCAGGTGCCTTTGCTGGAGGATATAAGTAAATTATACCGATGTACTCCTCTGTATTGTCAATATAGTCCTTTGAAGGTACTAAATGCCCTCTCCATAGTTACAATGAAGAACTTAGTTACAGGCGTCATGCATGTAGAATCGCATGATGAACGACTTTTTCTTATCGAGTAACACTTCTTCTTAGGTATCGACAAATCACTTCTGAAAGTTCTCCGTACCGAGGCACGTACGGTGTTACCGCCACTTGCGCATCTCGTTTTTCTTTTTGTGAAGCTTCCTTTTTGCCTATGGATCACACACGACGACGGCCTTTACATGCCTTTGGGCTAAGTGAAACACAACCTGATGCTGCTGAGTTAACCTTTACAGCAGATGTTATAACGTCAGAAAATCTGGTCGATTTGCTACGCTGTCGCCATGCACGATTAGTAAGCATAAATTTTCTCAAGAAGAAAAACTTACGGGTTTGAAATGAAGCTATTCATAGCTATTTTTTATACTATGCCGTATTAGTGAACCGTGAATTTCACCCAGGCTAGCAATTTGTTTTAGGAATAACATCATAATTGGCTCTAATAGATTCTCTCTAATGGATGTGACGGTTCACTAGTAACGAATTTGCTTGCTAGGGTTACGAACAAATGAGGCCGCCTAGATTTGAAACCGCTCGTATATACACTTCGTTCCATGCTGGGACGGGCCATTTGTCTGAATCCTACATACGGCTGAATCTAACATACAGCTTGAAAAATGTGATTAAGTAATGCTTGGTCCGAGTAACTCGTATTGTACGCACCTGTGGTATGTAGTCGTTGGTGAGATCACCTAACGTTCCAAATACGATGATAGCAACAAGGGTACAAACCATCGAAGCTAGAATGAGACCTGTAGTAGCACGCAACATCTGCACCTCCTTCTCTTGCGGGAAGCAGATGTTGAGAGCAAGAAGGACACCGCAAGCTGCAATCAGCAGCCCAAACCCGATCGTAAAAAAGATCTGAACCGCCACGAAATACGGCGCCTCGAGCAATGGTCGCAAGTAGCGATATTCTCGATCGAAGATCCATCGACAGCCCCTGTTATCATTGTCGAAACGAAGCAGACGTACATACCTGGGTATCGCATCCGACACAGACAAACGAAAAAGAAACGTATCTACATCAATTAACGTAAGCAAGGAATAATTTTTCATATAGTATTCGATATATTATTCTTTAGTTGACATCTTCAGAGGGTTTCGAATCTCCTGTTTCAGAAATACGTCATCAAAACAGGACAATGGTGTGCGTGCGTCAATAAACGAGATGAAAGTAGACAGGTATCGCTTCCGAACAAGCGTCGCCAAGGTGCTACCAGAAATCAAGTTAGCAATGAACGATACAGCTGTTCTGTGTTTCGTAAGTTTTTGGTTGGAGCAAAGAATGAGTGCTACTGAGGCAAAATGGCGCAGTGACAAAAATCGTCTTAATGTCACACTGCAGAAGGTTCTTTTTTGCTTGTGAGATTCGAAATGCACAAAATGTGGATTGGATGAAATCCACTTAGTGACATCTTATTACCGAACGGTATCATGATCGCTCTTAATGTTCGCGAAGATCGTGGAAAGTTATGCGTTCTATTTGATACTGTTTTCATAGGAAATCCAAAAGGAGCACGTTATTTTGTCATGGGATGGCTCTATTCCGTTTTCACCTAGAAGAGAGTAGACGTCTTGATAGGAGCGCTCGGTTAACTATAAACGATCATATTTTAACTGTAAAACTAATCACTAGCATCATTTCACTGTTCGATCGCTCAGAGAAGCTACTTACAAGCAATGAATTTATAGCTAATATTATGAGCTTTTTCTCCTAGGAAAATAATAACTAAGAAATTGTTTATGCACATATTGTATTTTCGCTATCATGGCAAACAAGGTCGTTAAACCTTTCCAACGATGTTTGCAAAATTTTCAAGAATAGGCTTCCCTACGAAATCCGTTTCTCATGAGTTTTTCTTAACTGCAAGTCGAACGATATCACTCTATCATGTAATAACAGTAGTAATAATGACAGGTGTGGTTAAAGAGAAAAAAACAAAGGCGGACACAATATTTTGTAAACGTCATTTTTAAAGCAATCTGTGTTTTTTTTTTCGAAGGAGACAGATGATCAATGTGAATCCATTGCGCATTCGTTCAATAATTCGCGCCATTATTTAGTCACATTGGCATTTATTTAGTTGTAGATAAAAAAAAACGTGTATTCAACTATTCGAAACTAGCTTGATTAATCAATACCATTGTAAATTTGCATTACCGTAGCTGAAGAGAAGCCTAAATGAAAATTTCTCCATTAATGTCGCATTTAATATATATAATACGTCAAAATATTTAATATAATATATTTGATAATAATAAATAAATATCGCCTAATATTCCTACATTTTTGTGTCCTTTAGTATTCAAATTTTTCCTTCCTTTGTGACCTTCCACAAAGCTTAGGCTTGTCCGAACTGACCTCAGGGTTACGCATATACTGAAAGAAGACGTTGTAACATAAACGTATATTTGACGTGGGCGAGTAAACTGGAAATTGGTATGCACATATAGTTATGAGAAAATTTTGCGTGTAGACAGATACATATTAGATTGTTCGAAGTTGTTTCACGAATCGAATTTTTTTAATAGTCTTAAACTACGTGTCGTTAGTAGACCAGATGTGTTAAATATACACAGCAGGCCTTTGCCTATCTATTACAATGAGATAATGATGAGTTTTTAATAAAAAGGCTAACATTTATTGCTAAAAATCAACGCTTAACGATTAAATTAAAATAGATCTTCTAAACGTAAAAGCACTGGTAAAATCCACAGAAGATTGATGCGAGTATCCAGTAAATAGACATTTAGCGAAAAAAGGGCTTTTGGTGATGCAGTCATTTTAACAGAACCTAAAACGTTGAAGACTGCAAAAGTGGTGACTACACCTTAGGATCTTAAACAAAACAACGAATTAGAGTGGTTATGGAAAAGCTTGAACAAAGCAGAGAATGGGTAATGCATCACTGTCAGCACGTTATGATTCCTTAAAGTACGTTTCATGAAACTGTTGCGGAAGCATCTGAAAAAAGAAATGGAGAAAAAAGCAAAAGTAGATTTTTCTCGAAATGAGTCTAGAATAGATGGAAACACGTGTGACGTACTATGAAGAGATTTAGAACAGCCTTTACCTGCAAAAAACCTGTTTAAGGCACACCATCATCATAGATGGGATATGAGCCAGTCTGTGCAGCCTTTCAGGAAAAGTTAAGCAAAAAATTCAGCTTTGAGGGCAGCGCCAAATAGATTCTGGAGAAGCCCATACTCGAAGTGATATCGGGTGAGTTTGCGGGATATTGCCCAAATAGGAGACCCCTAGTGCTACAGAATATTTCAAATCTTTAAAGAGCTTCATGAGTATCTAGCGCACCAATCTATGGCAGATAGTGTAATTACTCGACGACACTGTACGACTTCATCGCCACCCTTCGATTGTGGCCTGTATCAAAGTAAACGGAATCGAACGACGAGTATTATATTTTCCAGATTTAAGATATTTTAATTGTCTCCATGCTTTAAAGGAAGTAACACGTGACGTAAAATATCTACTGCGTCAAATACGTCATTGGTAACGAAATTTTCGCAAATCATAATCACACGCCTGCTAAGTAACCTCCACAGAGCCGACTTCATTGTGAAGGCAACGAAAAATGCATGTAACATACACGTGGTTCTCTTTCAACATAGGACTCACAAATTAATAAACTTTTTTTGGCCTATAACTATTGAATCTATGAGCTTATTTTTCCAACTTGGAACCTACCGCTCTATTCATAATATGCATATTTGCGAAAAGGCTTATTATAAATTACCCTCTCTATTAGGACCTTCCGCTCATTTGGGTCAAACATGCTGAGATATATTCTACAATAATCTCATACATTAGATTTTTATCTGTTGCTTCTTTATAATAGGGCCTGCACACGCTTTTGCTATGTCTAAATGTTAGAAGCTAACGGAAATTAGGCTTGTAGTTAGGACGGACATAGTCTAAGGGCTGAAGCATAACGGGTAATGAATCCGAATTGAAAGAGCTCAGCTTTAATTAGAATTAAAGCGCAGGTTGTATGAATGTCGACCAATATTTCCGCGCTGAATGAACCTTTACCAAGCATAAAAATTCCGTTCTGGCCCAAAATCGATGGTCCACGTTATTGCCAGGTTCAACGTGGTTTCTGAAAAATCTGAGGAAGGCTTTCATGGGGCAAACCGGAAGATACCCAGTAGAGTTTACATATAAAGGACTCAAAAATGCATCAAGCTAGCTTGAAAAACCATTTCCCATATACCTAGGTTTTTATCCGAGAAGTTAACAGCCGTTTTAGAGAGGAAAATATTAACTGTCAATTCGTCATCCAAATAACGTCCAGTGC